TCGTTATTGGAATGTGACTTGTGATGGTGGCTAATGAAACCGTTTGAAGGAACGATACGGATACTTTCCGAATTCTTTATGAATGAAACCATTTCGAANTCACACAAACGTCCAATTCGACCGTATGGACAGAGACATGAATGTGATCCATTTGATTCATCGAGAACGCACGATCCAGCAGCACATTTCTCTGCAATTCGTTTACAGCTCATTGGAAATCGGTGAACGGTTTAACTTTGACACGCAAATTTACACGCGTTTAACTCACGATCGCTAACAACTTGGAAATTAAGCAAGCGAAAACTTCCGGGAAAACAGCTTCAGCACACATTCTTCTGGTCGTTATTGGAATGTGACTTGTGATGGTGGCTAATGAAACCGTTTGAAGGAACGATACGGATACTTTCCGAATTCTTTATGAATGAAACCATTTCGAACTGCTATTACTTTCCAAAAACGATCAAAAACTTCTATCTACCTCCATTGCATTTCCTTGAACGTCGTTCACAGAATTCTCCCTCGAAACCATCCGTCCGCTCGCAATTGCATGCGAATCCACGATGAACATTCGCTGGAACACACAAACCACCGTGTTGACACGGATTTATCGAGCATATTGTACTCTGCTCTACGATACCAAAACTCGCCAGTGCCTCTTCGCCGATATCGATCGGTCTTCCAGATACCAATAACTCGCTGATCACACCTCAAATTCATCGAACCTTATCGTTACTAAGTTGTTATCGAAACACCGTCTTCGATAGCTCTACTAACACAGTTGAGTTTTGACTAAACCACTATTTAGCAGATCATTTTCCATTGACTTTTTGAATGAGAAAATTTCATAGGTTGAATAAAATGACAGAACAGCGATGAAAAATGGAAAGCATGGTGATCAAATTACCATCAAAACCGCGCGCAAAACCGGCTTGAGGCTTCGACTGAATATTTTCCATCCCTCCAATACTTATGTTTGTTGGAGGTGCTTCAGAGATTGCGAATCCCTCATTCTTCTTCTCTACGATATCATGTGAATCAACGTATAGTACAGCTGAAAGAATATTTGAAACGTAAAAAAATCTAACTGATCGTCCAATGGATTAAGCTCAAAAAGGCTCCATTTCAACCAAGGCATACGCCAATCTTCACTTCATTCTACTGAATAATTACACATCCAAATCAATCGTTTGAATTCATGGTATTACATGCGCGAGAGTCACAAAAATGGATTATTTGAAGAAAACATCACTGTTACAAACACGAACCTTTATCTTTATTGTTTTTCAGTTCAATCCTATGCCATTCGTTAGCGCGAACTGGATATGTACTCGCGATTTCTTCTGAAATAACGTGCTCCCATCAGTTTGGGATAGGAAAAAAGTTAGACTCGAAAGAACATGAATGAGCGATAAAAATAATAAGAGAGGAGATAGAGGTTGTTTGAAAAAGACAAAGATTAGTTAAATGAATAAAAATAATTCGAAATACTGATGTGAACTGATGAATTTTTGCTGTCAATTCAAAGTAACTTTTTGCACTATTCTATATCTAAATACCACACTTTTTTCTCACATACTTCTTTGAGCATTTGATCAATCAGCTTGATTTCAGATGATCAATCAGAAATCGCCTAACATGCATGTATGTGAAAGAATGACAATACTTGAAAATCTTCGTTTAAAAAAATTCACCCACCTAAGCCGTCTCCTACATCGTATCGATAAACTACTTTGCCTCTTCGTAGCCCAACACTAATGAAATTATCAGCATGATCTTGACCTTCTTTACCTCTTGACGTATAGAAAATCAGACCTAAACATTGAAACTTGTTATGGCGCTTTGATTTTACGATTATATCATGGAGACGGCTAATTGATTCGATGTGCCGGTCTGAACGAATCACGAATGATCGAGAAATTCCAAATTTTCTTATGAAAATTTTAATAGCCAAATATAGATCGCTCCGGAAAATGCTCCTCTTATTGTTCCGTAAATTGTTGGTCAACTTGTCGTTGCACAGTAAGCAAACCATTAGAATTGGAAAAAAATTTCGGAAAAAGTTAACCAAAAAAAACGATAATAATTTCGCGAACCATCTCTCATTTTTGGTTTCACCGACAACTTAATATTCACATCTTCCCATTCATTAATTGTCATTGGTTTCAGTTTCACGAATCCAGATCCATTGAATGACGGAACAAAATCTGAAACGAGTTGAGAGCACCATTGTCAAGGAGCTGATTGCAAGACATTCCTT